GTACTCTGCATTCCGAGAACTCAACTAAATGAACTACTGAACTAGACTAGTGAATTAGTTCACTTCATTGAAGAAGATTTATTGAACTAGGTCAGTGAATTGAACTACAATTCCCAAGTTGGAAGGATGTCCAATAACCTTCGAAAAATGAACAAAATAGTGGTATCCTAATGTTTTGAATATATTTAACTTGTTCTGTTCAAAATAAATGCAAATATTTTATTTAATATATGCTCATTTAACTAACAATAACGTACTCATATCAAATGTGGTAACATTGTTTGAGGTGAAAACGTATATCATTAAAAATTATTTCTTTTGTTTAGCTGCTAATGGGGTTCTCCTCACTCTGTACACAGTTCTATGTGTGCAACTGAGTGCTATTCTTAATGGTCGTTGTATATTTTATAAGTTTTTACCTAAGTTTCTAATGTAATATAGTACTTATTTTTCTAAGTATAGTGAAAACTTACGATTTGAGAAATGTTTCCTTTCAGTGAAGCTTTAGATTCGATCAAATCCATTCTACGTGCAATTCCCTCTTTTCCATGAATAAAATCGTTCAGTCTTTTCAGTACACCAATTGAATCATGGAAACTGGTTTTATGATATTGCAGTACTTCGGAAGCAATTTTAACCTGCAACATTTATTATAGATATGTCAACTNCTCCATAAATAGTTTGAGAAAAAATATTATTGAAGATTGTCATTCACAAATATATAAAACGTGTCACAAAAGAAATAATACCATTATAGATTTGGACAACAATAATGAAAGGAATTAAGATACTTGCCAAGTTCGTCTGGCGCCTCCGATAATTCATCATTCACAACACAATTGTTATTTTCAAACTCTTTCATTGATGAATCACATACCAATCTAGCAGTTCTATTGACTGCGTGCATTAAGGTAAAAGATAATCAAGGAAATTTTCAAAAATGTAGAGTTCTTATTGACGTAGGATCACAATCAAATTTATTACTAACACATGTTTACGTTTTGGATTAAAAAATATTAAATGCAATTCAAGAATAGGTGGTATCGCAGAAACTACATGAAACATACAGCATATAATGTGAATTTCAAATTCATATCATGCCTGAACAGTTATGGTACTGAAATTAGTTGTTTTATATTAGATAATATCACAGATCAGTTACCTCAATTACCGAGAAAAATTGATGTACTTATAGAAGCAGTCGTTTCTTTGGAATCTATATGTGGACCAGATAACAAACCAATCTTGCAAAAAACTATGGTACGTTGGTTACTATGAGAGGAAACATCAAATACAAATGTTCAGAATAACTCATGAAGTCACGTTGTAACTCACGGTAGTATAGTCAATAATCAATTAGGAAATCAGATAGTGATGCAATAGAAAATCGTGAAACTAACAAACAAGTAGTATCTCAAATAACTGACAACGATTTCTATGTAGGTGTTAACCGGTTGTGAAACAATAGATCAGACTTTAGGGATAATTAAGGACTTTTCTAAAATTCTATCAACAGCAGGTTTTGTATTACGTCAGTCAATTCAAATAGCAAACAAATTATTTCTAACAATCCATACAAAATGTTGTCAAACTTCACAACAATGGCAGAAATAAAGCATTAAGCATCCTTTGGAACCTTGAGCTCGATAGAAAGATTATCTAAATTACCGTATGATGAGTCAATATCGGGTGGTTAAAATTTAAAGATCAATTACAGGATACTAAGGATATTTTAAGGTACCACTGTTATGTTCAAAATCCCGCATAGTCCCATTAAAAAGGGTTCCTCATCCTCGCCTAGAATTATGTGGTTATGTGGTACTGTAATACTTGTACAATTATTGCAACAGGTAAAAGATTCACTAAGTTTACATATTGACTCCACCATCGCATTATTTTGGGTATCAAATCCACTATCAAATTGGAAAATACTCGTTACCAACAGTGTCGCTGAAATTCAAAGACTGTCCTTTTGGTTTCACGAGGGATCAAAGGATAGCCTCGCAGATCTAATATCGCAAGGTGTAGAAGTTCTTAAAATCGTGCAAATTATGGTAGAATGGTCCATATTGACCTTCCCTAAGCAAATTACACCAGCCTTCTCCACAATTAGAGGAAAGCGACATCCCTGATCAAAAGTAATTAACGCATATTTCAATACAACATTAAATAAATTAAAACCAGTTGTAGCCTATTGTCTTAGGCTCATATCAAAAAATTGATATGATGAAAATAGCAGATCATAAGGTTTACTACCAAATAACGAATTGCAAGGCTCTCTTTCAGCATTGATAAGGTTGAAACAACAGGAAATATATTTTAAAGACAAACACACCCCAAGAAAAATTAGCATAATAAAGTAATTTACTGTCATTAAATCCTATTCTTGAGGACAGAAACCTCAGTTATCGTAGAAAGTGAAACTTTTCCTGATAAACTTCACATCCTGTAGAAGAGACCGTGAAAACTTCCGAGGCGGTGGCGTAGACATCCTCGTCAGGAACTCTTTAAAACACATGCCCATCTCTTTGGTCACTAATTCATTAGAAGCAGTTGGTATTGAAATGTCGCTAACTTCCGCACCTAGATCCTACGTACCTCTTCGCCTCCCACAATCAACTTCCTGACATTCTTGACATCTTCGTCTTAAAAAATGTCAATCTTTCTGCCGATTCTGCCCTAACTACTAAATTGGTACCAAAGATGGAAACTCTCCATGAGGCCAAGTCGGAAGAAATTTTTCTCTCCCGTAGAGCCCGAAAACCTCACGCCATCACCGTTAACAACCACCGCGTCGAATGAAGCAACTCTGTTACTTATCTCGGCGTCGTCTTCGACAGAACACTGACTTGGCGAAAGCACATCCTTGGTTGAGTTGAATGTCTCATCGGTCGTAGGGTTCCGTTGAAGCGGTGCATTTCAAGTTCCCCAGAAGAAGTTCATTCAAAGCAGAAGGCAGCGTTGGACAGGAACTTTCTGTAGAACCTGAGCATACCGAGGAATCTTAAAAGTTGCGTTGTGAAAAATTGATGATTGCCGTTACTCTGTAACGTAAATTTGCAGAGACAGAGTAAGCTACAAATGAAACCTTTTTTTAAATTTGCATTTCGCTTGGTTAAGTAATATCCCGTAGGAATACAGGCGAATAAATAAAATGTATAAATGTTGTTTGTGCTGTTCTACATTTTTTGATATGAAACAGAACTCAAAGCCTGTAGTACTACGTCGATGAAACGTTAAAAAGATTAGCTGAAATTTATAGGCTCGAACCATATCTATTGTGGAGAAAATTGTTTTGTTTGATATCTAGGATATCTAGCTGGACTAGCGTTTCGAACTCTCTCTTGGTTGCAGTTAAATGGTCCGGAGCTAAACTTCGTAGTCGGCGTTGGACCAGAGGTAGTGTTAATGTAATACCTTATTGAATGCTTGGAAGAAGTGACTTCACTGATGTATGTACCAATGACGAAAACTAATGCAGTAACTCGTGCTACATTTTAAGTGGCGAATTTTGTGTCTGTGACAAATGTAGCTGCACCTGCGTCTAGTCACAAGACCAGATGGTGAGCAGGGTGAGCTGATCCAAAAGCCGCTGTTCGTTTATGTTTACCAGTAATTGATAATGCGCTAAGGAATCAGTACCAATGATGAGATTCGTGGTGCCAGCAATGATGAAATGTTGGTGCCGTTTGCTACTTGTTGCGTGTATGCGGACTACTAATGTGATCCAAGTATCAGTGACGCGGAATACTCGCAGATATCAGCAACTCAGAATTTCTAGCGTGTGGTTCTGTCTTTGACAAAAAAACGTCGTTGCGTTTAGCGAACCTCACCCGTTGTCATTGATTACTTAGTCGATTGTCCGATATCATCTGATGTAGTGGGATATATTAGCGCGCTGTGTGCTTGACCATTTGACGTACTACTGCTGTTGGACCGCCATTGGAAAAGAAATCTGCTTGAATTGGTCGTGGGACTAGCTATGGCTATGGATTGCACCATGATGGAATCATGCAACCTCATCCAGTTCCTTTTCTGTCATGGCTACGTTGATTTAAATATTAAAGGGAGACGATTTAACCAAATACTTCGCAGTAGATTGCCCGGTATTGTGGTGCCGCCGAAGCTGATGCAGAAATTATATGGGTTTCCCATTGCCCAATTCTTGAGAAATTCCCAGCAACGAATAACTACTGCTTTGATGGTGGCATATAGTTCAATAGTAGGGGCTGACAATGATATCATGTACTTCCACCGCGTAGCGAGAGTCAGGGTTGTGTAGTACATATCCAAACTTCGTGGATTTAAATAATTTCGGAGGCATCAAGACTGTTTTCAATCATTCAGAGCCAGAGTTCAGGGTTGGAGGGCACGAAAGGGGCTAACTTTATTAGCAGCTATTTATAGTACAATGTTTACATGATTCTTATGGTAATCAGTTTAGCAGCTTGCACTTGTATATGAAGAATATGAATAACTTTTTTATATTAATTGTATTCATTTTATTTTTAAATTAAGGTGATTTAGATTCATCTTAACGGTTCTAGTAGATGCATGACTAATAACTGTAGAGATGAAATTATTTGTTATGCAGTAACACATTTTAATAGGTTATCTTGTTAAATCTATTGTGCGTAAAATTATTAGTTTTCTTCTTGTAATTTTCAAATAATAATTAGTTTATTTTATAACCTGTTATTCAAGCACTGATTTTAAAATTTANTGTTCTGTCGAAGCTGCCTGCGACGCGCTCATGAGATCCAAAAAGATCGAAATCGCGATCCGCGTCTGGCAGTTTCGACAGAATACAGACCACTTCGAATTATTTTATTAGACAAAAAACTGTCTAAATTGAAAAAAAAATGAATATTAATATTAATGGATAAACGGTGTGGCTTCAGTACACGAAATGGAATAATCATTTCTCAAAATTAGTATAAACATATAATAACTAAGTAGATCAGGTCTATCCAATAAAACAAAAATATTTAGTTTCATACCTCCCAGCCGTCAGTACAAAAACATAATACTCCATTGTAAATGTCTTTACAATTAGCACCATTCCGACAAGGATTACTTGCACATTCGTCTATATTTAATAATCTTATTAGTCTGCGGACTTTTCTGTTAAGAAGGGATATTCTTCTATTGATAACTGTTTTTCTGGCATTGCTTCCACGTTCGTTCTAGAACAAATGATGTACATTAAAATATTACTCCAATAATTACGGTTTTATTGATAAAATACTTAAAACACTATACAGTTTTTTGAATGATACCTATTTCGCCTTTTTTGAAAATCGAAATTGATTTTTGTGAAGCAAGACGCACACCCAGTGTTCTTAGAAGTAGCTTTATACTCTAAACATATAAATCTCTCAAGAAAGCATACCTACAAACCTAGTGATATTAAAAAAAGGTTGTGAAACGTTCTGAAATAATTATGGGCCTTTTCTATATCTAGTGTTTTTAGGTTATTTCCTAAAAAGATAAAATGCTTAGTTTTTTTTTCCAATTGCACCCAGTAATCTTCCTCTCTTATATACATATAAGAAAAGAATTGATTGAATGCTAATTGAAACCGGTAGAGTTGGAAGTACAACCCACTTCAATTTGTTAGAATTGTGACTGAAGAAATCTGCGCGAAGATAGAAAGAATACACACTAGGCGTGAGCAAGACAGAAATAGTTGGAACAACCTTGAACGAGCAAAGCTCTCGATGGGCGGTCTTGGTGATCGGCTAGAACTGTACAGTACTAGACGAAAATGTTTAGCAATTTCTTAAAACAAAAATGTAAATAAACTAACATTAGAAAACAAAGCAAAAGTTTTATAGGTGTGTAGAACGTTAAGTTAATTAACTTGTTATTATTTTTGGCTAAATATGCTTTTAAATAAAGCANTTTATGTTCTGAAGAAAGCAAATTCTAATTATCCTTAAACGATTCGAAGAAGCATAGAATAAATAATAAACCAAAGTTGTTTTTTTTAATTAAATCTCTTATATTTCTTGCATTACATACATGCCAGAAAAATCATTACTAAAAAAAAACATTCAAAACTTTAAATATAGTAACGATATCATGGCGTCCTCCCCCCACAGTAAGCCACTGACCACTTTTCACCGCTCACCGTTCGTTTGTCGGATTTTGTCCCAAGGACGTATATAACAATGCCTTTACAAGACCCCATAAGTAAAGTGAACGGGGGTGGGGTTGGCATGCCACTGGATCAAAACAGGCTACCCACCTCCAAGGCAACATTCTCTTCAAATGCTGTCGTGTACGGGTAATCATCTGTGTATTGTACACAAAGATACTTGTTATTGTACTGCAATTCGGCGAATGCTCCTCGTGGAGTCTTCTCCAATGAACTGCACGATCGCATGTCCCCTTTCAAAATCATAATTAACTTATCTCCCAAGTCCTTTAGTTCTCACAACACACTATTAAGCAAACACTGCACTACACGCACTGTTAAGTCGATCATTATCCTTTCTGATTAAGCCGACATACCGTGAGTCCATTTTATTCAGCTGCATCGTAACTCAATATCATTTACTTGTTACTTTCATGAAGGTAAATGCCCTACATTCAACAATCTTCATCACTTTTATGTTACACAATTCCTCAAATAAATAAGAACACTACATCAATGAGTAAGTTAATTAATATTCTATACTAAAAATTGAAGCATCAAATTTCAACCTGTGGTTAAAATATTATTGATTAAAAAAACCACAACCTATTATAAAAAAAAATACAAAAAAATAATAGAAGAAATGAAAAAGCAAAGTATTGAAAAAAATTAGAGAAAAGCAGGAATGGATGGAACGCAAAGAAAAGAGAAAAATGGGGATAGGGAAATAACATTAGAAGAAGTGGAATAAACAATAAAAAAGCTTAAAAAGAAAAAGGTGACAGGAGAAGACACAATTAAAAATGAGGTTGTACTTTGTACAGTCGATACCTCTTACTCATAGCATCTGCGTACAGGAACTATTTGGAGCTAAGGTCAAAATTGTTGTAACAAATCATGTTTCAAATGTCACTAGGAAACCTGTGATTAAACACTTCTGATTATAAACGCCATATCCTGCATATAGACATATATTTTTTACCCCGATCAACTTGCATAGTTACCATTGCGCGAAATTAACCTTCATTTATTGCTTCTATGAAATTAATAATGTAGCCTCTTTTGATAACGCAATATTCCTTTCCGAAGACAAATTGCCGCAAATGATGATAACTTCAGAAAAACTGGAAGAAAACAGTAAAAGTTTGGAAAATAAATTGGAAGAAAACACTGAAAGTTTGGAAAATAAATTGGAAGAAAAACTGGAAGAAAATAGTAAAAGTTGGAAACGTGAATTGGAAGAAAATAGTCAAAGTTTGAAAGGTGAATTGGAAGAAAATAGTAAAAGTTTGAAACGTGAATTGAAAGAAAACAGTAAAAGTTTGGAAAATAAATTGGAAGAAAACAGTAGAAGTTTATATATATTTATATTAATTCCACTACGCATTCCCGCCGTAAAAGCCAATGTTCTTATACTTTGGACAATAAATTGGAAGAAAGATTTAATAGGAATATTCAAGAAACAGAAAACAACACCCTTCCCTGGGAAGAACTGGCGGAATATAAACAGTTAGTAGAACGGTTACAGTTACGCTACGGCGAGGCTCATTTAACAGCGGTGTATCACATTCAACTGAAAACCCGTCAGCAGAAACCAACGGAATCCTTCCAAGAATTCGAGGCCGATATTGGGAGACTGTCTCGACTAGCCTATCCTAATACTCCAGAAGACTTGATGGAAAGGGTGGCAGTGGAGGCATTTACTGATGGACTTCGGGACAGTGACACTCAACAACGAATACGCCTTGACTGACCTAAGACGCTAGCTGATGCATTGGCTCGTGCATTGGAGTACGAAACTGTTAAACGGGCCTATAGTGAACAGGAGAGGGTTCGGCTACTGTCGAATCATCTCCAAGTTCGATAAAGAAACTCGAAAGCTAAGATGTTGGAATTGCGGCGATCTAAGTCATACGAGGAGGCATTGTGGGAAGAGTACTCTTTCCCCAAGTAGTCGACGTCAACAGCAGGTAAATTCTGAAACAGTACCTGTTGAAATAAGCGGAGTGATTGACAGATATTGTAGGAATCTAACCAGTGAGCAGAAACGCAAAGTGTAACATCTACTTTGTCTTTGAGACTGACAAGAATGGTAGGGGAAGGAAGGACCAATATCGTAAAACACAAGATCAATACCGGTAATGCGCAGCCAATTCGTCAAAGACCTAGACGATTGCCCCTGGCCAAGAAGGAATAAGCAGAGCGAATAATCCACGAAATGCAGGAGACCGGTCTAATTGAGCCATCCTGAAGTCCATGGACATCACCGATAGTATTGGTAAAGAAGAAGGATGGGACAACCCGTTTTTGTGAGGATTACCTACAGCTCAATAACGTAACCAAGAAAGACAGTTATCCCCTACTAGGGATTGATGATACCTTGGATATGCTTTCTGGCTCGAAAACGTTTTCCACACTCGATTTGAAGAGCGAATACTGGCAAGTTGCTTTGGATGCTGCCGATAAGGAAAAGACCGCATTCGCGATCGGCACGCGGGCCTGTGGCAGTTTACAGTTATACGTTTCGTGCTATGCAATGCCCCGGCGACGTTTGAAAGGTTGATGGAGAAAACTTTGACTGATTAAATTGAAGAGACCTGATTGATATACTTGGATGACATCATAGTGATTGGAAGCATCTTTAATCAACACTTGCAAAATTTTCAAGCGGTATTCCAGCGGTTGCGTGAGGCCAATTTGAAACTCACTCCGTAAAAGTGCCACCTTTTCCGCGAAGAAGTTTCTTACTTGGGAAATTTGCATCAGCAAAGGGCGTGGCCGTGGATCCAAAGAAGATAAAGGCCGCGAAGGAATGGCTAGTGCCTGAAAATGTCCACGACATAAGAAGCTTCTTGGGATTGTGCACGTATTATCGTCGCTATGTTTATGGATTCGCCAATATCGCCAAACCTTTGACACGTTTAACCTAAAGTGACCGCAAATTCCATTGGGATTCCAATTGTCAAACGGCATTTGACACTTTGAAGCAGGCTTTAATCACAGCCCCCATACTGGTATATCCTCGGCCCAATGGAATGTCCATTTTGTACACCGACGCCAGCAATCTGGGAATGGGAGCCGTACTTTCGCAGTTACAAGATGGTCAAGAGAAGGTAATCGACTATTTTAGCAAGACGTTATCAAAAGCCGAAAGAAACTACTGTGTCACTAGGCATGAGAAGCTGGCTGTAGTCAAAGGTGTAGAACATTTTTATAAATACCTATTTGGACGAAAATTCACCCTACGCACCGACTATGCAGCTTTAAAGCGGCTTCTGAATTTCAGGAATCCGGGGGGCCAGGTAGCTCGATGGATTGAGAAGCTACAGGAATATGATTTTGACGTAGAGCATCGGCCTGTAATCGGACACAAGAATGCCGATGCCCTTTCCTGAAGATCTTGTCAAACAGACTGCAAGCAGTGTGATTAAATGGAAAAGAATGAAGAGGCAATTCGACGCGTCACGGCAATCGATGACGAATGGTTACCTGAAAATATAAAAAACGACCAAGAAAACGACCCGGACTTGAAGAAGGGAATGGAATGGAAAATAGACGGAAAACGACCAGCGTGGCAGCAAATTTCTTCCTGTACCCAAGTACTAGAATCGTTATGGGTTCAGTGGGATTCAATGGTTTTGGAGGATAGCATCCTGAGGTGTGTTGTTGAAACTCCGGATGGAGAGGAAGATAGGAAGCAACTGGTTATTCCCCGAAACAAGGTTAGAGAGGTGTTGCAGTATCTTCATGACGAATCATCTGGTGGCCATTTTGGAGTGAATAAGACGCTTGGGAAAGTTCGAGAGCGATTTTATTGGGTGAACTGTAAGGAAGATGTCAAGAATTAGTGTAAGAGGTGTACCACCTGTGCCGCGAGTAATGGACTACAGAAAAGGCCAAGGGCGCCAATGCGTCAATAGAATGTCTTTGGCCCCTTCAAACGAATCGCAATCGATGTGGCGGGTCCATTCCCAGAGTCCGAGAAAGGTAAAAAGTACATCGTGGTCGTTATGGACTATTTTACCAAGTGGGTTGAAGCCTATGCCTTTCCGAACCAGGAGTCGGAAACCATAGTTGAAGAGCTGGTGAAACAGTTGATCAGTCGTTTTGGGGTGCCCTTAGAGTTACACTCAGACCAAGGGAGGACTTTCGAATCGGTTATATTCTGTGGAATATGCGAGCTCTTTGGTATAAAGAAAACTCGAACCACTCCACTCCATCCACAATCGGTTGGCATGGTTGAGCGAATAAACCGGACCTTGATTAAATATTTCTCCAAGGTAGTGTCTAATCACCAAAGGGACTGGGACCGCTATTTGCCTTTATTTTTAAATGATAAACCAACTTATAGATTATAGGGACGCAGTAATGGAACTCCGCGGACATCTTCTGGAGAATAACCTACAGAAGCTGGCGATTCCGGAGCTTAGTTGTGGACTGGACAACCTAGATTGGAGGATTATACGGAAGCAAAAACATTCTTAAGGAGGGAGCAGTGTAGCGAGCATGAGAGTGTTTGTATGCGATCTGGCACACGTGTGCGTGTACGGCTTATTGACTCGTCGACTAACTGCGGGCGCCTTTCTTCATGTGCGCCATATTTGTAAATGTGTGTGTCATACCTGCGTTCTGGGAAAGCAGTTAAACAGTTCAAAGAAAAAATAAACGATACGGATGTTTCTAGAGAGTTCCAGAAAGTAAACAAAAGAGTATTTAAAAGAAGAGACGATTGTCGAGAAGAAAAAATAAGTTGTCCGTTACGGAAGTGAATCGAGAAATAAATTGACAGTGATAGCAGTGATATAAATAGCGCAGTGAATAGTGATATATCAACAGTAGAGTGAATAAATANTTAAAACCAGTTGTAGCCTATTGTCTTAGGCTCATATCAAAAAATTGATATGATGAAAATAGCAGATCATAAGGTTTACTACCAAATAACGAATTGCAAGGCTCTCTTTCAGCATTGATAAGGTTGAAACAACAGGAAATATATTTTAAAGACAAACACACCCCAAGAAAAATTAGCATAATAAAGTAATTTACTGTCATTAAATCCTATTCTTGAGGACAGAAACCTCAGTTATCGTAGAAAGTGAAACTTTTCCTGATAAACTTCACATCCTGTAGAAGAGACCGTGAAAACTTCCGAGGCGGTGGCGTAGACATCCTCGTCAGGAACTCTTTAAAACACATGCCCATCTCTTTGGTCACTAATTCATTAGAAGCAGTTGGTATTGAAATGTCGCTAACTTCCGCACCTAGATCCTACGTACCTCTTCGCCTCCCACAATCAACTTCCTGACATTCTTGACATCTTCGTCTTAAAAAATGTCAATCTTTCTGCCGATTCTGCCCTAACTACTAAATTGGTACCAAAGATGGAAACTCTCCATGAGGCCAAGTCGGAAGAAATTTTTCTCTCCCGTAGAGCCCGAAAACCTCACGCCATCACCGTTAACAACCACCGCGTCGAATGAAGCAACTCTGTTACTTATCTCGGCGTCGTTTTCGACAGAACACTGACTTGGCAAAAGCACATCCTTGGTTGAGTTGAATGTCTCATCGGTCATAGGGTTCCGTTGAAGCGGTGCATTTCAAGTTCCCCAGAAGAAGTTCATTCAAAGCAGAAGACAGCGTTGGACAGGAACTTTCTGTAGAACCTGAGCATACCGAGGAATCTTAAAAGTTGCTTTGTGAAAAATTGATGATTGCCGTTACTCTGTAACGTAAATTTGCAGAGACAGAGTAAGCTACAAATGAAACCTTTTTTTTAAATTTACATTTCGCTTGATTAAGTAATATCCCGTAGGAATACAGGCGAATAAATAAAATGTATAAATGTTGTTTGTGCTGTTCTGCATTTTTTGATACGAAACAGAACTCAAAGTCTGTAGTACTTCGTCGATGAAACGTTAAAAAGATTAGCTGAAATTTATAGGCTCGAACCATATCTATTGTGGAGAAAATTGTTTTGTTTGGCAAAGAATGCGTAAAACCATCAATGCTGTATACAGGGAATCAGCCCGGGAGAGAGCTCGGTAATCTACACATGGGCGTCATTAATCGTCTTTCTTCGGGACCATGAGTAATGGCGATGCCCAAGTACTAGAACAGGTGCGAGGGATATCTAGCTGGACTAGCGTTTCGAACTCTCTCTTGGTTGCAGTTAAATGGTCCGGAGCTAAACTTTGTAGTCGGCGTTGGACCAGAGGTAGTGTTAATGTAATACCTTATTGAATGCTTGGAAGAAGTGACTTCACTGATGGGTCGTATGAATGACGAAAACTACTGCAGTAATTCGTGCTACATTTTAAGTGGCGAATTTTATGTCTGTGACAAATGTAGCTGCACCTGCGTCTAGTCACAAGACCAGATGGTGAGCAGGGTGAGCTGATCCAAAAGCCGCTGTTCGTTTATGTTTACCAGTAATTGATAATGCGCTAAGGAATCAGTACCAATGATGAGATTCGTGGTGCCAGCAATGATGAAACGTGATTGCCCAAATTGAAAGACAGGACGAGAGTGCCAAAGGTAGTTATGTTGGTGCCGTTTGCTACTTGTTGCGTGTATGCGGACTTCTAATGTGACCCAAGTATCAGTGACGCGGAATACTCGCAGATATCAGCAACTCAGAATTTCTAGCGTGTGGTTCTGTCTTTGACAAAAAAACGTCGTTGCGTTTAGCGAACCTCACCCGTTGTCATTGATTACTTAGTCGATTGTCCGATATCATCTGATGTAGTGGGATATATTAGCGCGCTGTGTGCTTGACCATTTGACGTACTACTGCTGTTGGACCGCCATTGGAAAAGAAATCTGCTTGAATTGGTCGTGGGACTAGCTATGGCTATGGATTGCACCATGATGGAATCATGCAACCTCATCCAGTTCCTTTTCTGTCATGGCTACGTTGATTTAAATATTAAAGGGAGACGATTTAACCAAATACTTCGCAGTAGATTGCCCGGTATTGTGGTGCCGCCGAAGCTGATGCAGAAATTATATGGGTTTCCCATTGCCCAATTCTTGAGAAATTCCCAGCAACGAATAACTACTGCTTTGATGGTGGCATATAGTTCAATAGTAGGGGCTGACAATGATATCATGTACTTCCACCGCGTAGCGAGAGTCAGGGTTGTGTAGTACATATCCAAACTTCGTGGATTTAAATAATTTCGGAGGCATCAAGACTGTTTTCAATCATTCAGAGCCAGAGTTCAGGGTTGGAGGGCACGAAAGGGGCTAACTTTATTAGCAGCTATTTATAGTACAATGTTTACATGATTCTTATGGTAATCAGTTTAGCAGCTTGCACTTGTATATGAAGAATATGAATAACTTTTTTATATTAATTGTATTCATTTTATTTTTAAATTAAGGTGATTTAGATTCATCTTAACGGTTCTAGTAGATGCATGACTAATAACTGTAGAGATGAAATTATTTGTTATGCAGTAACACATTTTAATAGGTTATCTTGTTAAATCTATTGTGCGTAAAATTATTAGTTTTCTTCTTGTAATTTTCAAATAATAATTAGTTTATTTTATAACCTGTTATTCAAGCACTGATTTTAAAATTTAAATCTCGACTGGACTACCTTAAGTAGCTTTTCGTTTAACGAACTAGTCAAAAAACTGTCTAAATTGAAAAAAAAACGAATATAAATGGATAAACGGTGTGACTTCAGAACACCAAATGAATAATCATTTTTCAAAATTAATATAAACATACAATAACTAAGTACCCCAGGTCTACCCAATAAAACAAAAATATTTAGTTTCATACCTCCCAGCCGTCAGTACAAAAACATAATACTCCATTGTAAATGTCTTTACAATTAGCACCATTCCGACAAGGATTACTTGCACATTCGTCTATATTTAATAATCTTATTAGTCTGCGGACTTTGCCGTTAAGAAGCGATATTCTTCTATTGATAACTGTTTTTCTGGCATTGCTTCCACGTTCGTTCTAGAACAAATGATGTATATTAAAATATTACTCCTATAATTACCGTTTTACTGATAAAACACAGAAAACGGTATACACTTTTTTGAATGATACCTATTTCGCCTTTTTAGGATATCGATTTTTTTGAAGGAACACGCACACTCAGTGTTCTTAGAAATGGCTTCATACTCAAACTTCAAACATAGAAATTTCTCAAGAAAGCCAAATACCTACATACGTAGTGATATTTAAAAAAGGTTGTGAAACGTTCTAAAATAATTATAGGTCTTTTCTATTACTGTTTTTAGGTTATTTCCTAAAGATAAAATTCTTAGTTTTTTTTTCAATTGCATCCAGTAACCTTCCTCTCTTATATACATATAAGAAAAAAGATTGAATTCTAATTGAAACCGGTAGAGTTGGAAGTAGAGTTGTGTAACTCATGAACGAATCGTTCACAAGAACGGCTCACTTCAACTGAGCCGAGTTAAGTAGTTCAGCAATTGAAAGAATTATAGTTCAGTAGTTTACATCTTGTACAGTAGGACTTGTGTATTTTCAAACTATCGGGACTATTCGACTCATGTATTTTCAACTCTCCTCTATCCTCATTTTGTGGCAGTCACAGACAAATCAGAAAAAACTGCGTAAATCTTTGAGAAGTAGTTACGCGCCGATTTTGAATATAAAACGTATATAATTTGCTTTTGCGCATCTATTTTTTCATTGGCTGAGCAATGTAAGAGAAGTTTGGTATAAGAAGTGGGAAGTGGGGACGAAAAATTTGAAAATACATGAGTAAAATGAATTGAAAATATGGGTTCAAAATATATCAGTTCGATTGTATTATTGGACGTTTTGCATGCTCTACATTCTGAGAACTGAACTAAATGAACTACTGAACTAGACTAGGGAATTAGTTCACTTCATTGAAGAAGATTTATTGAACTACGTCAGTGAATTGAACTACAATTCAACTACAAGTCTAATTGGAAGGACGTCCAATAACCTTCGAAGAAAGAACAAAAGAGTGGTATCCTAATGTTGTTAAAATTTGGTGTAAAGATTAGCCCTGCCATTTTCAAATATATTTAACTTGTTCTGTTCAAAATAAATGCAAATATTTTATATAATATATGCTCATTTAACCAACAATGACATACTCCCATCAAATTATGTGGTAACATTGTTTGAGGTGAAAACGTATAATGTCATTAAAAATTATTTTTTATGTTTAGGAAAAGTTGCTAATGGGATTCTCCTCATTCTGTAGACAGTTCTATGTGTGCAACTGTCCTATACTTAATGGTCATTGTATATTTTATAAGTTTTTACCTAAGTTTCTAATGTAATATAGTACTTATTTTTCTAAGTATAGTGAAAACTTACGATTTGAGAAATGTTTGCTTTCAGTGAAGCTTTAGATTCGATCAAATCCATTCTACGTGCAATTCCCTCTTTTCCATGAATAAAATCGTTCAGTCGGTTTAGTACACCAATTGAATCATGGAAACTGGTTTTATGATATTGCAGTACTTCGGAAGCGTTTTTAACCTGCAACATTTATAGATATGTCAACTTTCTTAAGTAGACATGAATAACATACTATGTCTGTGTCAACACATTATAATTATGTCGTGACTCAAGCTATCACTCTCCTTTC